GTCCAGGTCAGTGAGTATTTCACATTTTTCTGCTAATCCAATACCCAGCATTATGGGCAATTTGAGCAATGCTCCTAAAGCAATCCATTGGTATGAGAAAGCTCTGATACACCTATATGAGTCTCATTTCTTGCACTGAACACACCTAAGGGTCAGAGGTTTTCTCTTCATACAGCTAGAACTGAATAAATGTTTGGTAGTAATGGGAGAAGATTGCCACACAGGATTCTTTTCAACATTAAGAGAAACAAGAAGCCATTTCAGTGTAATTTGTTGCATCCCATGAAAAACACAACAGAACCTCTGGGGCACAGTCAAGTTAATAACAACTGTCTCTACTTTATCACATAAAATAGAGGGCAATCAACTAAGCAACTTTGCCCTCATTCATCCCTAATCTAACCCTAGCCTTGGAAAATGGATAACTCTGTTCTATACCGGTCCCACATAGCTCTTGATACAAGTTACTTAAGGGAATTAAGAACTTTACTAACTTTAATTTATTATGTTTAAATACTCTTGACTTTTTCCACATATAGAATAAATCTCCTGTCTTTCTTATTTTGACTGTCTTTCTTATTTTTCTTTGGCTTAAAGACAACCATGGATTGATTCCCACTCTGAAATTGCAGTGGATTGAACATGACTTCAAGTAGGTCCATCTTCCTGGCATCCTGGGAGCAGAATGAATCACACCCCATTTCTGAACTCAGAGGAGATGGGATTTCCTCTAGAGAATTTTTTTTGCTAAGCTTAGAACAAAGGGGAAAATCCTACTTCTCTCCTCCTTCTCTTGTTGGCACATCATAAGTATAATTTATATAAAACTGGAAAAGCAAAAGCAAACCTCAGCCTTTTCTCTGTTTTCTAAAAATACATTTAATTGACAAAAGTTTCATATGGTTATCAGGTATAATATGCACAATTTGAAATATGTACAACTTTTAGAATGGCTAGATCAAGAAAAATTAGCATACACATAGCCTCACAGATTTTTGTGGTAAGAAACTTAAAATCTACCTTTGGCAGTTTTCAAGAATGTAATGCATTGTTATTAACACTAGCTACCATATTATACATCAGATCTCTTGAAGGTATTGCTTTGATTTGATTTATAATATATATATATATATATATATATATTCAATGAGATATTGATCAGGTAAGTATTTTAAGTCTTAGTTTAGAAATATGGAAGTGACTAAGAACAACAGGAGAAATATGAGTAGGAAGCTGGCTTTCAGCCTTCTCCAATCCTAAGAGATCCAGACAAAGTAATGGATTTTGCGAGTCCCAAACTATTTCTAGACTAGGATCATATGGGAACCTGGCAATCGATGGATAGTTAGAACCTCTCACTTTAGGAAACTAAATCAGACATACTACTTGAAATGCCTGATCACAGTTGGAATCTAACGGTTTTTCTCTTAAAAAGAGAAGAATTTGGGCTGCAGATATAGCTTAGTGGCACAGCACAAGCCTAGTAAGCATGAGGTCCTGAGTTCAATTCCCAGTACAAAAAAAAAAGAGGTGAATTTACATATAAAGTAATTCTACATCTGTATTAGGTTTCATGCAGATAGTTCACTGGAAAATGCTGTCAGTAGTAATAAGGGAGTAAAGGAGGAAGGATGTGATAAAAGAGAAACTTAATCATAATTCAGTCACAAGAGAGATTTAAGTTAATTCCCCTGAGAGGCTGTAACCCTGGAATGGCTCTTCAGACATTGCAGAATTAGATGAGGGTGTGAGCCTTGTACTACCATATACACTAATCACTAGATGCAGGTCACTGCAGGAAGGGTGGGGGGGATAAGCTTGTGTAAGGAGTTCATTTAGGATGAACGAAATTCTTGGAGAGGACCTATAGCTTACAGCACTGCTGGTAGTTGGGAGAATAAGTTTGATGGTTCTCAAAGGAAATGTGGATGGTAGACAACATCACCTACAGCACCAGACACCAAAAGAAATACTAAAGGTGTCCCAGTTCTGAAAGCAGCATGCAGTTAGTCCAGTTAGAGACTATGCAGTATGAAATTCAATAGAGCCATGCCCTGGATGAATATATTTGGGAAGTTCTTGAAACTGTAACTGTCTGTGTATGATTACTTCTGACTCTGAAGTTGTCAGTTAAGGGAATGAAAGGAGGTTGATTAAGAGTCCTATCTAAATGCTCAGAGGCAGAGCCTCTCAGGGCCAATTCAAAAGGAGCATTCTTCCTACAGACTCTTTCATATTTTTTCCATTTTTATATATTTCATGAGCAGGTGGCTACTACCTGTGGCTGATAATTACAGGCTTTATGTATCCTGCACTATGTGAAAGGAACTTGTCTGTGGTCAGAGCTGACAAGGGAGTATGCAGCATATGTTTGACCATAGAAGAGGAGGAAAATTCTCCTTTTGTTAGGGACCATGGAGTTTTCAAGGCTGCTTTCCATGGCAAACATTTGCCATGTTCAAGGGCTAAGGGGCAAGCATACAACCTTTTAAGAGCTTGTCAGCACAGAGTCCATTCAAGAAATGCCTTGCCTGTTCCACACAATAGGCAGGTAATCACAGACATATTATGTGCCCATCTTCTTTTTAGTAGCATGTGTTTGCACTATATAATATGTGTATTCCTTGTACAGAGTTGTACATGTATATAACACATCTTAATTCTTTTTTGAACCATTTCCTTCTTCTCCCTCCCCTTCCCTTCATCCCTTGATCACCTTCCTATTTGAGAAAGATCTCCCTACTTATTTTCTATTTTTATTTTGTTTTTTATTTATAATTTGGGTTTCTCATTTAAGAGAAACCATGTGATATTTAAGCTTGTGTGTTTGGCTTATTTCACTTAACATTATGGTCTCAAGGTGCATCCCTTTTCCTACAAATGACTCATCTTTATAAAAAGACAAAAGTTCTATAGCTTCCGCCCCAGAAAATATTGACTATTACACTTTTTAATATGTAATACTAATAATAACAATAAAGAAGATGCTGCCATGAACTTCCTGGATTAAAATGGAGGATTTGATCTTTGGAGAAACATTTTCTGTCTGGGACTAGAGCAGGCAACCATTGTGAAAATACTCAAGAAAATGATGTAGAGGTTCTGAGGAGGAGTTTTGCAAAAACTCCATAGAAGCTGCAGTTGAAACAATTGAAGCAAAGAACTGGCCCCAGCCTGGGTACTTATGCCCTCAGCTCTCACTTTCTTCCCAATTTATACCCACAAGTAACTGCCCAGCTGATGTTTATTCAATTAGCAGGGGTATTGAGCAATACTGGATTATTGCATTACTATTATTAAAACATTTATTTAATATTAATAAGCAGATAATTTTTTCACTTTTTACTTTTTGTTAGTACATGTTTTGCAGGGTAATGATTACATTCCTTGTGGGAGTTTGTACCTGTACATAGCACCTCTGAATTCTTTTTCATCCCCTTCCCCTGCCCTCCTTTTTGGTCCTCTTCCATCACCCTCTATCTGTCGATCCCTTTCCTCTATGAGAAAGATCTGTCTCCCTACTTCCTTTCTATCTCTTATTTTGTTCTGTATTTGTATTTTGAATTTCTCATATAAAAGAAACCATTTGATATTTAAGCAGTAAATTTATAATAAGATGCTAAAATTGGGTCACAAAGTTATAATTGGAAAACGTGAAGTGAGTTTCTAGCATGACACCATTAATTTTGTTTTTCTAAAATGATTACTTGAGAATATGCTGAAGAAAAGGCACGTTTTCAATCACATAAATATTTGCGGATTAAAAACAAAATTGTGAAACTTTAGAATCAAAAATTATCTTTGAGGCTACTAAGTACAAGTCAGTCTTTTAAACTAAGGCCACAGAGGTTGAATTGCCCAAGATCCTACATTCAGGACAGTGATGTAGGCTTCCTTGCTCCTTGGCAATTGTCTTTCAACTAGCAGAAATATTCTCAGTTTAATAATATTATGTATATGTTACTGGAAATTTTATTATTTTATTAAATGATATTATGTATATGTTATTGGATGAAAGAAAAGGGAGGCTCCTATATCTTTGACCAAAGTAGTTTTGGCTTTATTACTTTCTTCTCTTCCTTCCTTCCTTCCTTCCTTCCTTCCTTCCTTCCTTCCTTCCTTTTAGAATTAAGCACAGGCCTTCATGCACTGAACTATAACTTCCATTCCCCCCCCGTCTCTGTCTCTGTCTCTGTCTCTGTCTCTGTCTCTGTCTCTGTCTCTGTCTCTGTCTCTGTCTGCCTGCCAGGGTCTTGCTGATTTGCTAAAGCTGAGTTGGAACTTGCGATCTTCTTGCGTCAGTCTCACAGAAAACTAGGATTATGGGTATGTAGCACCATACTCAGTTTGAGATTATTTCTTATGTTCCAGAGAAAACAAGATTTGAAATACTGCAAATCCCTATTTGATTTGATCCTTAGGCACAGCTAATGACTTAACTGTGACTTTAATAAAGATTGTCAACTTGTGATCACATAACCTGGGAGTTTTAGCATTTCTGGCTTTCACATTACTGTGCTCAGGATTCTTTCAGATCTTAGGGACTAATAGATATCAATATATTTGTAGACTTTGGTGTGTCATTTCATTCAGAGTCCCAGACAGAGGCAGAGAGTCACAAATTGATGACTTGGATACATTCTTCTAACAAGAAACTGCCATACCTCTGCCACTATATTCCACTACCCTTAACCCTACAGATATGGCTCTACATACTTCAAAGTCCCAAAATGTAGAAAACACAACTAGAAAGGCTAGTATTCAAGTGCCTTGTATGAACAAGAGCACATTTTACTTAGTGTTATTTATTTTTGAGGCAGGGTCTCTCTGTGATGACCAGGCTGGTCATATGTTCTTGCAGTCAAATGACTCTTCCCACCTCAGGCTCCCAAGGTGCTGGGACTACAGAAATGTGCTGGCACCTATCTTTATTACAAGTGCTATAGGGACCTTTAAATAAGGCACTAATCTGAAGAACACATATTTTTTTCTTTTATAAGGCTTTTCCATAAATTGCAAGTTCGCAATTCTCTACATGTCTTAAAAAGCCCATCTTGGAGGAAGAAGTGGACACAGGACCAAGCTTCTACTGCAGAATGATAAGAACCCCATTTTAACCAGTCTACATGCTCTGCAGCCCAGGATGTGGATACATGCTGATCTGTAAGTATTCTGTTTACTTATTTAGATGAGGTTGTTGCTTATCTGTGTTGTTTGAAATTTCTAGGACTTACCAGCTGGGAGAGCATTATCTGTGTTCATATAAAGCTTACAAACACTGCCTTAATGCTCATCCATCTTCTGACAAACTTTACAAATGCCCTTTCTCTCCTTTTCCTTCTTGTTTGTTCCAGGGTTTATACCAAAAGAAAAAGGAGTCTCTACAAAAGCTATGACTTGTGAGCATGAACTGTGTCCTGAGATCTTTTTGATCCCAGAATCTGAACTGACATGAAGTTGAGATCTTAAACTTGTAACAGTTCCCTGTGGCTACTGTCACAAAGAACCACTAATGGCATAGCTATAAAACCAATACATATTGTTTCACATTTTTGGGGGTGATAGTGGCTGAAGTCCAAAATCAAAGTGTCATTAGGGTTAGTTCTTCTGAAAACTGTGAGGGGGAACTTATTCCTTGCCTTTCTTCTAGCATGTGGTGGTTTTCTGGCAATTTTTGTCCCTGTCCTGTACATGCATCACCTCAGTTTCTGCCTCTACCTTCACATGGCTTCCTCCCTGTGTGTATCTATCTCTGTGCCCAAAGTCTCTTTTTCATAATGACATGGTCAGATTGGATTAGGCCTCGCATTAATTACTTACTTTGAACTTTGTCACATGCAAAAACCTTATTCACACATAAGGTCACTTTCACAGGTGCTAGAGGCTAGGACAAAGATCTTTGTGGAGGCACATAATTCAAGCTGTAACAGGGCTTCTAAGATGGATAAAAAGAAACAACAACAATGACAACAGCAAGGGCCTTTGATGGGACAGGTGAAACCTTAATCTCTCTCCTTTCTTACCCTGGCAGGGGTTTCCTCTTTCTCTTGTTCCATGTTGCCCGTTCCATGGATGAGCTTTTCCAAAGGAGGCCCCATGTTGGCTTAGAACAGGGAAGCTTCCTTCTAATCTTCTAAGGCCTTGGACCTGTTACTCAATTCTTAAGTCTGGGTTCTAAGTCTTCTAATATCCAGCATCTACCTGGACTTCTGACTTCTAGTGGCATAGATGAATTACCTGTGCCCCTGGTCTTTTACAGCCAAATTTATATATGAGGTAGTATAAGACTAACAAGATGGGCTCTGCAACCAGACTCTCTGCTCTGAAAATTCCTGGATATCTATTAGACAATTTACTTGTTTGTTCTATTCCCTCCTCTGTAAATCCACTGCCTTGAAGAATTGCCAAGCTGATAAATAATTCATATAAAGAAATTAGAACAACACCTGGAACATAGTATGCACTCACTAAAGTTAGGTAGCATTAGAACTAGATTTTTCTTGGCCTAATGAGTCCTTGGAAAGACAGATAGGTAAGGGTGACAAAGAAGAAGACAGAGCTAAGAGGGAGACCCAGGGATGAGCAGTGAAAGAAACAAGCCACGGTGGGACCACCTCCGCAGTGGGGATGAGACAAGGCCTAGTCTCCACAGTAAAGAAATAGATGAGAGGGCAGCAGAGGTCAGGGATCACTGTCCACATGATCCCTGGGACAGCAGACTCCCAAAAACCCTGGTGAAGTCATTAGACTTCTTATCTGCCTCCTCACTGAGAACGAATGATCTCAGCAGGCAAGCTGGAGCCTCAGCAGGCACATGAGGAGGAAGCCCACTAGTACAAGAGTGTGTTTGTGTATATGTGTGCGCATTAAAAGTCACCGGGAAGTTCTTTGCCGCATTTCTCTGTTACCTAAAGTCTGCCCTATTTCCTCTACCTACAGCTTAAGAAGACTTTGGGGACTGTTCTCACCCTCTGAGCTTTCCCTCCACTCCAAGAATCAATCATGACTTTCATCCACAACAGCTGCCACCTTGGCTGGGCTGCTGCTGCTGCCAGCAGAGGTTGCTTGCAAAATTCTCTGTTTGGTTGTCACTGTTTGGCTATTACCCCACTGAAAAGGAACAACTCAACAAATGAGTTTAAACTATTCACTTTTCAAATATTAGGTTAAGGCTATCTGAAGTTTGATCAAGATATGGTGGATAAGAAATCCTGCCCCTCCTAAAAATTTAGGTTATGATTCAAGTACTCTTTCAAGAAGCATTTCAGAATGTTGACTGTATGCATTATCCCAGTGCCCAGCAACCATGGCACAGCTACATGTAATAGTCCTTTGTGATGAGAGACTCATGTGGGCGAAGGCATTTGGTCATTAAAGAAAAGCACCAGCCTTCCCCTGACCCTGCTGTCCCCTTCAGGTACCACCCTGAATAACACTGTTCCTCTTCTCCAAGGATTGTCTAGAAGCCAGTCCATGCTTGATGTTTTTATTTGCTTGCCACCCACAATCCCATCAGACTATATAAGCCTTAACTGTTTGTGTCTTCTTCACTCACCTAAAAATGCTCTTTAGAGGTTATCATTACCTGTCATATCACAAATCACAAATCATATCACAAATTGGCTTCATAACAATCTTTAATTTTAATGACTTCTCTGTAGCATCAAATGCCTGTAAAAATTCTCTCTGCCCAAGGCTTCAATGGCCCCAGTCCACTATGGGCTTCCTGTACCAAAATAGCTCCTCCTCTGAATCTTTTTTTGGCTGTTCTTCCTCTTCCCTCTATGTGTAGTTATACCCCCATATTCTTCTCCTGTCTTCTACTCTTTCCCCCAGTATACTTGGCTTATTGGATGTAGAAGTGTCTCCAGACAGGGAGCTGGTGGAAACACAGAATATCCAAGGTCAGAAATATTTAGCATTCATCTTTGCAGAATTTCTATCAGGAAATTTCAGCAGGCATTGAGCCAAGCACCAAAGCAGAAGAAATCACCATAGCAATACAACACTGGGATGCTACGATCCATGTAGGTTAGGACAGAGGATGGATGCAAAGTTTCTTGAACATAGGATAAAAGAAAAGTTCAAAACAGTCAGTAAGCCAAGGTGCTTAAAAGATTATTTCTAATGGCTTTTAACATAGTGCTTTTAGCAATACACCTCAATCTCTAGAGAGAGGTTAGATTTCAGTCTTGTACTTTTTCATCGAGTTCCTTAACACACTATAGTATATATATACTTACTAGTCTATATCCACTTTAGAGTTGGATATAGACTAGTAAGTATATACCATAGTGTGTTAAAGATCTCTAAAGATTTGGAGAGCAAAGCCAGTTTCTATCTTTCACCTTTCTATTTCTAACATGTATAGCAATGCTCGTTCCGTAGAAGGTGCTAAACAAATAACCATTGAAAGAGTGGCTCTATTTTGAAATTTGGAAGTCAAGTAAGTGGAAAGTATGGGAAATAAATAATATGTAAACTAAGATAAAATTTGTGCAAACTATTGTGAAGATATACTGCAATTTTTACTCTGCCAAAGCAAAAAATATATATAAATGATAAAATTTATGTCTGTAGACTTTAAGAAAGAAAAGTTACTCAAATGAAGCACAGCTATCATTATTCATTTTTGGTCTTTTTAAGGCAGGATTTCACTATAAAGTTCAGGCTGGCCTTGAGCTTGCTTCATAGTCTTGAACTCGTAATAATCTCTTGAAGCCTGAGATTACAGGCGTGCACACGCACACTTGGCTATCAATGAACTATTGATTTCAGTGTCTCTATGGTGCGTCACAAAGTTACTGGCTGGGCCACAAAAAGCATCTACTGGGCCATTTATAACTAGATACAATAGTGAATACTATAGGACTGTTTTTGACAATGTCCTTCAAGACAGATTAATCACATATTATACATTTAAAGCAATTCTATGACAGGAAGACCAAGGCAATGTAACCAACTCCATGGAATTCTGAAGACTTGGCTTTTTACAAAGATAAAATTTAGAATATCTAGAACAAGGCATATCCTAAGACATATGAATATCCCTTGTACTATGATCTAAAATTAAGAATTCTGTGGTCAAGAACATTTGAGAAATATTGCATACTTAGAACTTTCTGTTTGGGATTTTTGCATTTACATAAACATTTACTAAATGTTTTAAGAATTTCTTCAGTAAAGAAACAAATTCTTATCAAATAGTATCTATTTACATTTCAAGGAACTGTATAGAGATGGTTTAACCACCAAAGACTTATGTGCTAGAAGCTTGGTACTTAATTTGTGATGGAAGCTTTAGGAGGTGAGATAGAAGGTAATTAGGTCACAAGGGCTCCATCCTCATGAGTGGATTAATACTGTCTTTCAGGAGTGGGCCAAGTCTAGTGGGTCTAGAGTATTACCTGCAAGAGCGGTTTGGTATAAAAGAGTGTGCCTGGCCGCTGCTTTCTCTCTTCTGTTCACATATCCACCATTCTTGTGTGTACTCCCGCCTTGTGATACTACCCATCATGAGGCCCTCGGCAGAAGCTGGTGCTGGTACCAGGCTCTCGGACACCAAGACTGTGAGCCAAATAAACCTATTCTTTGTACATTACCTACTGTCAAGCATTCTGCCACACCAGATAGACTGAGATAATGCACATTGGCCCCTTTGGATGTGGTTAGAAATACACTGCTATTGTTGTTGACAGTCAGAATTGATTATCAATTATCTTAACCAATGACTATTTTCTGTAAGTTAATGTGTCATTAATTCAACATGCTTGGTTTTATTCACTAAAACTTATGACTTAAATCACCAGATAATAAAAAAAATCATACCACATATTCCCCCTCCTATCTGGACAGGCATACCTAAGATTAACAACAGTAAGAAAATATAGTTTTTATGACAAAGGGAGGGAAAAATGAAGTTTGTGTCCTGGAATATTGCTATTACTAGTCATTGGAAGGCTCTTCCCTGTAGTCAGAAAACCATCAGCTAAATGAAGAACCAGAGACATACACACAGTTTAAATCATCTGAATGAAATGGGAAAAAGCCTTTATGAAAAAGGAGAAAATGCCTAACTTTTATTTATTTGTCGTTGTTGTTGTTAATAATCTTCATGAAATCTCTAAAATACTTTTTGCTCTTACTATGTCATATAATCAATG